GCCAAGTTTTCCCTCAATCAGAGTTGCATTGACGTGGAGAAGCTTCTGCTTAAAGCTATATCCTGTAATAGATATACCCGTCTTCTTGAAATTCAAAAAGAGCTTTTGAGAAATGCTCGAATTGCCCAGGCTCCTGGTGATGTCATCCTTCAGGCCCTACTGGATGAGCCTGCTACTGAGGTAAAAAGAGTTGGCTTTAGCTCAAAATTGGATATTTTGTTTCTTGAAAGTTTTAGGAGATTTCCCCAGGTTACTTACACTAGTTGGACGGACATTAAGTATGCCACTTGAATGTCAATAGCCAGATTATTGTTTTCTGATGCATAACTTGTTTGCTTAGCACTATGTTTAAAAAAATCCCTTACTAATTTTTCCATAATCCATATCGTCATGCTAGAGAACATGAAATTAAGCGTAATTGCAAGTGTAAAATTCATTGATGGTGGAACATTAGTTCGTAGGTTTCGGTAGGCTATATTCTTTTTTTTTGCACAATTTCAGTTGTCAAAAGTAGTGAATATTCTACAATGCATATGTTCTTTGGCCCAGCTTCTTTTAGCTCATGAGCCTCATGCCATATATATCTTACTGTTGGTGATTTTTATTTAAATTCCCCCTTTTTTTAGGGAGGTACCATGGTAGATTTTAAGGAACAAGTAGAGCCAGAGGTTTTACGTGTCCGAGCCTATGGATCATCATATTTCACACTCGGGATAAATATAAGGTATAATATTGACATGTTTATATTTGAAAGTTCTTCTTTTGGCCTCGCTTCTCTAATTATATATTAATGATTGCAGGACTGGTCGGTTGCTTCTTCAGTCATCCAAGAGTATCTTGACTCCCTCCATTTTGGAAGAGTTTGAAGATGCTTTAAATCAAGGAAGTATAAGTGCAGTTGACGCCTTCATTAACATGAGAAGCAAAAGCATTTTGCACTTTTTTGCTGCCATTGGCAAATTTTTGGGTCTCGAGGTAGTAGTTTTTTTTTTGCGTCAGCCTATCGTTCATGTTTCAATTTTGGAGTTGTGAGTATTGAAGCCCGTGTTTACGCAGGTCTATGAACATGGTTTTGGTATAAGCAAAGTTCCTAAAAGCGTCTTGGATGGGTCAAGCATTCTGACTTTGGGATTCCCAGACTGTGAAAGCTCTCACCTCTTGCTCATGGAGCTCGAAAAGGACTTCACACCATTGTTTAAATTAGTGGAAACTCAGATGGATGGTGCGGGACAACCTCAGTCTTTCAATGATCCGAGCAATATATTGCGAGTCAAGAAAATTGATATTGGGCAGATACGGATTCTTGAAGATGATCTTAACTTGATTACATCCGATGTGGTTAGATTTGTATCTTCATTTTCAGATACTGAGTCTATAAATCAAGCATCTGGACAGCGTCATCCTGGATTGGTTGACGAGGCTTCGGCAGAAATGAGTGGAAGCCAGTTGAGTTTCTCTAGCATCATAGATGAAGTGTTTGGACTGCAGAAAGGGACATCGTCTCTGGTCTCAAGTGATGGGCATGGTTCAGTTCCCAAAAATTTCTCTGTTGTTAACGGCCATGGAAAAGATCCAATGTTGACTAGCTATCATTCAGATTCCTTGTATAATCTGCAGGGTCCCTTACAGTCTGGTTCTTTCAATATGCTATCATCTCCTCATGGGAAGGGTTCAGCTATGAAGAAAATAGCCATCTCTAACTCTGAGCAGGAGTTATCTGTGATACAGTCTCCATCCCTATCTGCTGGGAATGGAGTCTATGAGTCAGGCTCTAGACTGGTCACCGAATCCACATCGTCACCTCTTCCCGTATGTAAGAACCTTTTCTATAGCCTGTTTTTCCATTCGTAGAACTTTCAAAATATCAGAATTTCTAATTTATATGATTTGCAGCACAAACTACTGATCTTTCAACTTTATCGGATTGTCCTTTGCTGAAAAAAGGCCAGAAGTCTCGGAAACGTTCAGCTTCAGATTTGCTAAGATTGATCCCATCTCTCCAGGGAATGCAAGGTGTTGCTAGTCCTAATAAGAGAATAAAAACCGCTGGGTTGGTACAGAGGGAATTAGTGAAGAGTTGGATCCCTGCATCACAGACCTTATCCACTGCCGTGACAACTTCAACAAAAACTATTGGATGCAGCTATTGGAATCTTATAGCTGAAGCAAATAAGGGGAACGCACCTTCAACCGTTTTTGTCTATGCTCTTCTCCATGTGGTCAGGCATTCTTCGCTGTCCATCAAGCATGCCAAACTAACTAGTCAGATGGACGCATTGGATATTCAGTATGTTGAGGAAATGGGACTAAGAGATGCATTTTCAGATATATGGTTCCGTCTTCCATTTGCTCAAAATGATTCCTGGCAACATATATGCTTGCAGCTTGGTAGACCTGGAAGCATGTGTTGGGATGTGAAAATAAATGACCAACATTTCAGGGATCTCTGGGAACTTCAGAAGGGAAGTAAAACCACACCGTGGGGAGCTGAAGTTCACATTGCAAACTCGTCTGATGTTGATTCCCATATCCGTTATGACCCTGAAGGTGTTGTTCTGAGCTATCAATCTGTGGAAGCCGATAGTATAAAGAAGCTTGTGGCCGACATACAAAGGCTTTCAAATGCTAGAATGTTCTCTCTTGGTATGCGGAAACTACTTGGTATTAAACCAGATGAAAAAACAGAAGAGTGCACTGTTATTCCTGCTATTAAAGGACCGGCTGGAGGGAAAGGCACTGGTGAGCCAGTTGATAGATGGAGAGCTTTTAAAATTGAGGCAGTGGGATTAACAAGCCTGTGGTTTAGCTTTGGTTCAGGCGTCTTGGCGCGCTTTGTTGTTGAGTGGGAATCAGGCAAAGATGGATGCACCATGCATGTATCCCCTGACCAACTCTGGCCACATACAAAAGTGAGTTGTTCGCACAGCTTAACAGTTACTCTTACGGGATATGAATATTTTCCTTTTCTCATTTTGGGTTATTCTTGTACAGTTCTTGGAGGATTTCATAAATGGAGCGGAGGTAGAATCTCTTTTGGATTGCATTCGACTTACTGCTGGACCTTTGCATGCATTAGCTGCCGCTACTCGCCCTGCCCGAGCTAGTACTGCCACTGGCATGCCTGTTGTACCCACTACAGCGTCTTCAAGGCAATCAAATCAGTTACAACAAACTCCTTCAAATTTAGCAGCTCCTAATGCTGTTGGCCAGTCTGCCTCAACAACTTCTGGAAATACTGTTGCGTCTTCTGCTGCAAGCCCACTTGGTGGAACTTTCCATGGAGTTGCAATGCTAGCAGCAGCTGCAGGCAGAAGTGGACCTGGAATCGTTCCAAGCTCACTCTTGCCCATCGATGTCTCTGTAGTACTCCGTGGACCCTATTGGATAAGAATCATATACCGAAAACGTTTTGCAGTGGACATGAGATGCTTTGCTGGAGATCAAGTCTGGTTGCAACCAGCAACTCCACCCAAGGGTGGTGCTTCTATTGGAGGCTCCTTGCCATGTCCTCAATTCAGACCTTTCATCATGGAACATGTTGCTCAAGAATTAAACGGTTTAGAACCAAATTTAACAGGTAGCCAAGGAACAGTAAATCCAAACAGTGCAAACCCAACTGTTAACGGTGGGAACAGAATTAACTTTTCCCCCTCTAGTGCAATGTCAAGAGCTGCGATGAATCGTGTAGCTTCTGTTGCTTCAGGATCTTTAGTGGTTGGCGCAGGATTGCCTATGCGTAGAACACCAGGCACTGCTGTGCCAGCACATGTAAGAGGCGATTTAAACACAGCCATTATTGGTTTGGGTGATGATGGTGGCTATGGCGGAGGGTGGGTTCCTCTTGTGGCTCTTAAAAAGGTTTTGCGTGGTATCCTTAAATATCTTGGAGTACTGTGGCTGTTTGCTCAGTTACCAGATCTCTTAAGAGAGATCTTAGGTTCAATCTTGAAGGATAACGAAGGCGCTCTCTTGAATTTAGACCAAGAACAACCAGCCTTGCGCTTTTTTGTTGGGTAAGCCAAACCAAGAAACTTAAGCATATCATACCGGGTGTTTATTTATACATTAGTCTGATTATGCTTTCCATTTCTTTTGTTGTTGCAGTGGCTATGTATTTGCTGTGAGTGTCCATAGAGTTCAGCTTCTCCTTCAAGTCCTTAGCGTAAGGCGATTCCATCACCAGCAGCAACAACAACAGCAGCAAAACGGTTCGTCTGCTGCTGCTCAAGAGGAGTTAACCCAATCCGAGATTGGAGAGATCTGTGACTATTTCAGCCGCCGAGTTGCTTCAGAACCTTACGATGCTTCAAGGGTTGCCTCTTTCATAACGCTGCTCACATTACCCATATCGGTCCTAAGAGAGTTTCTGAAACTGATAGCTTGGAAAAAAGGATTATCCCAATCACAACAAGCTGGAGAGATTGCACCTGCACAGAGGCCTCGAATCGAGCTATGTCTAGAGAATCATTCCGGTACAGATTTAGACAATAATTGTGCAGCTAAAAGCAATATCCATTACGACCGGCCACACAACATGGTTGACTTTGCGTTGACCGTCGTTCTTGATCCTGCGCTTATACCCCATATAAACGCTGCTGGAGGAGCAGCGTGGTTGCCTTACTGTGTTTCGGTTAGGTTAAGATACACATTTGGCGAAAACCCTAGCTTGACGTTCCTTGGAATGGAAGGAAGTCATGGAGGTCGAGCTTGTTGGCAACGAGTTGATGACTGGGAGAAATGTAAACAGAGAGTGAGTCGTACAGTGGAAGTCAATGGTTCAGCTACAGGAGATTTGACTCAAGGAAAACTCAAGTTGATTGCAGATAGTGTCCAGAGAACATTGCATCTGTGTCTTCAAGGTCTGAGAGATGGTAACAATAACAACACTCTTTAAAAGGAATTTACCGTATAGAGCGGTATAATTCTTGTCAGTTTTGGGAAATTCTTATATCTTAAATCTTAATGTGTACATACGTATTATGCTGATTTTTCTTTTGTTGTTTTTTTTTTCCGTTGGGGACTTAGAAACGTGTTGTAGCCTTTGAATTTTTCCAGTATAAAGAGGTTTTGCCTCAAGTTGTTACCAGTCAAAGACATGTGAGAGTCCAGAAAATTTGAGAAATGACTAATTTGGCAGGATCAGAAATAATAAAATCTTGAAGTTCAGAAAAAATTCACATTGACAGTTAATTTTGTACTGCTTTTAGGATTTTTACAGTTATAATCAAATTTAGACAGTTAAAAGAGTTTCCAAATCTGTTATAAAAGCATGATTTGTCCAAAAAGAGTAGTGTACTAGTTGTAGATCATAAGCCAGTTTTAGTACTACATGTTTAGGAGAGTCGAGACAAAAGCTGCGGTCTAAAATCAAATTATGTTGAGCCACTTTTGTTTAGTCGTTGGATTCAACTTCAGTTCAAAACGGATCAGCCTTTGAACTAAATTTAAGTTCAAAATATACCAATGATGTCAGACAAAGTTCTGCATTTGTTGCCATCCCCCAATGCAATGCAGGATTCTGAAGGCGGATGATGTTCCGGATATGCAGGTGATATACGGTTATGCTTGGATGTCTTAACTCTGGACTGAGTCAAATCAAGCTCTATGAACCAAAACATGCTTGCTTCAAGGCCAACGAAACTCAAAGGTTCATTCAACCTTTTCCAAATCACCATGGAACAAAGTGGTTCTCCTAGGATCAAAACTATGTCACAGCATCAGGTTATTCCCTCGGTTTCCGTCTTAGCATGAATCTTATATCAAATTCTAGATGAGGATATATCAGTTATCACCACATTTGACGGCTAAACATGTGCTCTCTATAGTACTCTACATGAAAAGGTACTAAAACTCTTGAGTGTACCCAGGAGTTTACCACTTGCTCACTTCATCTTCAAATCCAGAACTTCTATACGGATATTGTCGGCATTATCTGTCGACTGATGATAAGGTTGATCCAAATAGGCGGTATCTCTTTCAAGGAGGAGGATTGTTTTATCCACACAATATAAGCCAACCAGCACCAGCGTTCGTTCTCTTGGGAGCTTTCAACTGCGAAATTATGCTTTACTTTGTGTCGAGAAATATCCTCGCTTATGCATGCTCTCTCAAATGCTTAGATGGCTAATTGATCTATTTTACTAACAAGTCCAAGAGATCCAATTTTTGGACTTCATTTCATCATGCAGATGCTGCAATATTCCTTTGATGTCCAGCCATCTTGGATGGTTTTGCTTCTCTGCAGCCACAAAGCTATGAATTCCCCCTACTCCAACTACACTACTAATTCCTGCAGGCTTCTTTACTCCGTGACTCTCCATTGCATCTCTCGTCTTGTCTGAATACCCCCATCTTCCAGCGGTTGCATATATATTTGACAACAAAACATATCCGCCTTCTTTTTCAGGTTCCAACTTAAGCAATTCTGTTAAAGCCATCTCTGCGGTTTCAATGTCTCCACCTCCCCGGCAAGCGCTTAAGATTGATCCCCACATTGACTGACTTGGTCTCATTGGCATCTTTGTTTGCATTATGTCTTTCGCTTCTTCTACTCTCCCTGCCCTACACAACAGATCCACAAGGCTTCCGTAATGCTCAGTTTCAGGGTCAAAGCCGAATTTCTCCTTCATGTGGTTGAAAACGTGTAGCCCTTGCTCCACGAGTCCACTATGACTGCAAGCTGTTAGGACAGCGAGCAGAGTGACTTTGTTTGGCATCACGCCTTCTTCTTGCATATTTTCGAATAATTGCAGAGCTTGCTGGCCATTTCCATGGAAGGCTAACCCAGTAATCATTGATGTCCATAGCGTGACATCTTTTTCGGTAGCTGTTTTGAAAACCATGAAAGCCCGCTCAATGATACCACATTTGCAGTACATATCTATCAGAGCCGAACTCAGAAAGGCATCACCTTTCAGTTGCAGACGGATCACTAATCCATGCACCCATCTTCCATGGCTCAGATCTCCATTGTTTGCTGCACCACTTATCAAACTAACCATAGTGACGCGGTCTGGTTTGATCTTCTCTGTTATCAACATTTCATAGAACAACTCTCTAACGGCGCTTTGGTCACATCCCTTCTTCGAGTAACCAAAAAGCAGAGAATTCCAAGAAACAAGATCCCTTTTGGGCATCTGATCAAAAAAAGCCTGAGCAGCTTCCATGTCTCCAAGCCTAACAAACCCAGCGACCATGGTGTTCCAAGAACACATGTCTTTCTTCTTCATCGCATCAAAAGCTCTCTTAGCAAGACCAGAATCTTTGCATTTGAAGTACATGTCTAAAAGAGCATTGCTCAGAATCAAATTAGATGAATGACCAGGTCTCCTCCTCTCAATCCAACCATGAACTCCCTTCCCAAGCCTAGTATCTGATAACTGACCAGAACAAACTAGAAGACCCAACACTGCGTACTCATCAGGTTCAATACCATCACCAACCATCTTATAGTACAGTTTCAGTGCCTCTAAACAAAACCCCTTCTTTGCATAACCAACAATCATAACGTTAAAAGAGCTGACATCTGGTTCAGGCATTATAGCAAACACCTTCTCGGCAAAACCCAGACTTCCCAACTCCATGTACAACTTAACCAGAGAATTCCACAGGTAATTCCCAAGAGAGAAACACCCAGAAACAATGATGTGGCAATGGATCTGCTTCACTTCCGACAGAAAGCTCGAAGCTTTCATGAGGTAGAGAAACGTTTGCCTGTCCGGAGAAACACGGTGCCTAATCAAAGAACCATACAGACCAAAGCATTCGTTTTTGGAGGTCGAAACAGCAGAGATCATCGTGTTGTAAACAAATACATTGGGGTTGGGAGTGAACTTAAGAAAGAGAAGCTTCGCCAAGTCGATGTTCTCTGGATATGTGATAGCTGAGAACAAGAGAAGACGGCTCATGGGAAACGTATCGCCAATGAGATTGAAACGCATGATCTGTGCCAAAACCTGCTTGAACTGATTCCTGGAATTGCAGTTCTCGAGCAGAACAAGAGATGGGTGATTTAGCTGAAGGGATTGAACAGGATCCCATGTCGTCTTGCTCCCAGCTTCTGTGGCAAACAATCGAATTCCTCGCCGCACGAACATAGAGCAGGAGCAAAGGCTTTGCTGCAAAGCACATACGCACTACTTCAGTACATATAAGATTGTATTCTTCTTTCGCCTCGATTAGTTTTCATGTCCTCTATAGATTGCTTATGCTTTGTTTTTTTTTTTTAAACTTAATTCATTTATTAATAATTATAATGTTTCGATAGAGTTGTAATCAATAATTAATTCATCAAAAAGAAAACTTGATTTGATGATAGACTTTGTGAGTAAGACTTTCAAACAATGAAGATGCCGAGTGTGAAAACCGCCACAAATTATTTCACTAAAAACCCTTACTATTTTCGGTGTAACTGCAATACAAATACAAAAACTTTATGTATTTGCACAAGTAAACAAAAATAAAAGAAAGCACCTTCTCAAGAATTTGGAAAATACCTTAATACTGTAATTAATCTTTGATCTTAATTAAGAGTTAGAAAGAGATATATGTTTAGGGTTTTCTTTTTGCAAATTTACAATACTAGATTAATTGGTTATGTCTGCTTCTGATTCATCACAGTCACAGACATCAAAAACAATAACAAAACATGTTGTTTCTCGACTCTCACTTATTAATGACCAGAAGTCTGATGAGAAGATCTCTGTAAAACATTAAGCAAAGGGAATGTCCTATGCAATCTCTTGAACGAGTGCTCAGAAATTGCATCTATTCGAACCAGATCATTTGCTAACTCCATTGCTTCTGCTCTATACCCAGCAAATCCGATGCCTTCAATGAGCACAGTATATGTACTTTCGTTTGGCCTACATCCATTTCCCACCATTGATTCCAAAACATCAATCGCGTCCTCGATCCTATGAGCTTTACAGAACCCCAAAAGCACAATGTTGTATGTAACGACCGATGGATGGAACTCACAGCTCCTCATATCAACCAATAGATCAAAAGCTTCATCCACCATGCCTTCTCTGCATAGGCACGATATCATCGAGTTATACGTGATCTCATCGGGATCAATCCCCTGACTTACCATCTCTGATATCATATGTAACGCCCTGATCTTATCTCCGCTGCTCCATAACGCGCTGAACATGGTGTTGTACGAGCTCGAGTTGGGTGAGCAGCCCACTTCTCCTAGCTTCCCGAAAATCTCCAAGGCTTGATCTGCTTTCCCGTTCTTGCACAACGTAGCTAAAACCGTGTTGTAGTTAACTATGTCCGGTAAACACCCGTCCGAGATCATAGTTTCCAAGAACTCAATAGCTAAATCTAATCTACCTTCTCTACAAAACGCAGCGATCAAAGGATCGTAGCTATAAGCATCAGGGCTTAACCCTTTCTCCTTCATAAGCTTAAGCAGATTCAACGCTTCTTCGATCTTCCCATCGCGACATAGAGTAGTAATCAGAATGCTATAAGTGACAACATTAGGATCACACTTCTCGGAGAACATCTTAGTCATAAGCTTCTCTCCTTCTTCCCACTTGCCTTGATTCAAAAGAGCTCGAAGCAAGATGTTATAAGAGATCACATCAGGCTCACAGCCTCTCAATTCCAGATTCCGAACCATCTCAAAGGCGCGATCCACCATCCCTTCTTTACACATTCCTCTAATGATTGTGTTGTAAGTAAACATATCAGGTTTTAGACCTCTAGACAACATCTCATCCAAAAGCTTCAACGCTTCATCAACTCCGCCTTCGAGCATCGTTGCTTCGATCAGAATGGTGTAAGTAATCACAGTAGGTTGGCAATTATCACTTAACAGCTGGTCCAAAACCTTCAAAGCAAGAACAAGTTTCCCTCTACTACACAAACTACCAATCATTATGTTGTAAGTAACAGTGTCTGGTGAGAAACCTTTGCTTCTCATCCTATCAAGAACTCTGGTAGCGTCATCGATTCGGTTCATCTTACAAAACCCATTAATCAACGCGTTGTAAGCAAAAACATCAGGCTGTCCGAATTTCTCGAGAATCTCCATAACCCTAACAGCTTTGGGGATGTTTCTCAGAGTGAAGAAGCCTTTAATGAGCTTAGTGCAGAGTATCACATCGGGGTTGTAACCTTTACGTACCATGCTCTCGAGTAAGTGAAGAGACTCGATGTAGTTCCCTGAACGGCATGATCGATGGAAGATTTTGAGCATCTGGGTATCTCTGAACCCGAGAGAATGTGAATGGGTTTGATGTTGTCTTCGTTCCGTGGGAACTGTTGCGTCTTGTGTTGTGGCGGCTTGAAGGTTTCTCGCCGCCCCTGAAGATGAAAAGGATTTGACATTGTCGTGGTTAGGGTTAGAGTTTGAGAAGCTTAAGAGGGAGCTCCGATTGTGAGATAGTAGTAGTAGTCCATGGGAAGAATTTGAATTGTGTTTCTGAGTTTTTGAGTAGAAAGGGATGGTGAAACCAACGAGGTCAGAGGAGAATGGAGTCATCTTCTAGATAAAGTTCATGGAAGATACTATTGTTGTGGTCTTGTGGGCAAATACAGAGAGTGAAATTGGGGGAACTCAGACAAAGAATCGAAACGGCAAAACTGTAGAGACAATGCGAAAAGTTGGGATTTTGGAAGAGAGAAGTGGGGAAGAAAACAGAGCAGAGGTACACCACTCGTTTTTGTATCTCTCAATGCAATCCTTTTAAATATTTTCCTTAAGGATAGGATTATTTTATTACACGATAAAAGAGTCCCAAAATCCAATTTTTTTGTACTTTCGTACTTCAATGACATTTGTCAACGGACATTAACGTTGACACGAAACGGCGGCGTTTGTTATAAGATTACATTCGATTTTGGGCTTAAATTTACGTTGGTTCAAACATGGGTAATTAAGCCTATATTGTAGATTTATGTGTGTTGAATCTAGATAGAGTGACTAGATAATCTCGATTTTGTATCTAACTAATATATATAAATATCTAAGGAACAAGATTCATATTCAAAAAATATATAATACTTTTAGATCTCTTTGGTATAAAAATTTCCATTACAAGTCCTCTCTCTGAATATTTCTAAGTTATATAACCAAGTAGCGTGGTTAAAAACAAAAAATACGAAACAAAATACAACATAAAAGTATTCAGTTTGATTTGATTTAATTTTTTTTTTTAATGATTGTACCACACTCATAAATCTTACCGAATCACCAAAGGACGCAACTGATGATTTAACATTAACACGATCTAGTTACCCATCAATGAAAATAATATAATGTTCGAAAAAAAGAGATATATAAATAAACGAATTAGACATAGCAAATCAAAGAGTATTCACAACGATCACAAAAGTTAATTACCTGCTTCTCAATTGATAGTCTCTACCCTTGACATGAGACTCTCTTTTTTGAGTCGGAGGGATTGCAAGCAGTCAGTATACTGTATGTCTTCTTCTTCATGCTACAATCATTAGCAGGTGAAGCTACCAGCATGACCTAGTCTCTCTCTCTCTAAGCTAGGATCATATAAGAACAAGAAATATATATATAATATCCTAAGTTACTTAATTATACATATATATATATATATATGAAACTTAAGAGAGAAAGACAAGATCATGCTGGCAGCTTAACTGCTACTGGTACATGGTATACATACATACATACATAATAACATAAATACGAGTATGCTTGGATTTGTGTATCAGTGTATGTGTGCTTTGTGTTAGTTTCTTGTTTCTCGTGTGCGTAGTGAGAGAGTGAGAGAGAGAGAGAGGAGAAGGAGGGGTTATATAGTATGCAGAAGCCTAAGAAGAGTGTGATCTGTGACTGATCAAATCATTATTTGAACATTATTATTATATACAATACGTTTCTTAAACTCTAGTTATTATATATGTTTCTTAGTAGTCGGTCTTAATTATGTAAAATTTTAAGTTCCTTAATTAACACTTTTTCGTGTTTGGTTCCTCGGAAGATTAAGGCAAGATTATTAAGATACACGTGTCCATAATTTTAGATTCCATCTAAAATAAAATTATGAATTGAGGGAAAAAAGAGAAAAGCTTAATTGGTGATGATTCCACATTTACATATATGTTAGGTTGTTAACCAATACAACCAATTTCATCTACTTTTTTGTACTATATAGTTTTCCATTTCATTATAGATGTATGTTTTTCACTTTCTCATCCATGCCATGGGAAACAAGAAAAAACCTAATACCACACCACATGAAATACTACATAGATTTACATTGTAGAATTTCTAACTTATTCCCATTATATATATTGCATCATTTAGTACAAGAATAGTTAAAACGCGAGTACTTTAGTTTGAATTTTGAATCGAAAAGTGAAAAGATGATCAAATATAAATATTTACATTAATATTGAAAACGCGATTGAGTAGTAAGTTTTTATTTCAGAATGTTAAAACAAGAAAGAAAGCATTTGGGGAGTTGCAAAAAGTGAGAGAACATGAACTAGTGTTGTGGTCCCGTTAATTAATTACAGATAAAAGAAGATGCAAATTGAATATTGTCACGCCTAAAGACAACGCATGCTGACACATACAACACCACCATTCTCTACTAGTCTACTATAAGTATATTTTTAGAAGCTGATGATAAAATTAGACACTAAAAGATTTTATTATTTTTCATCCAAGCTAATTTAGGTGTTATATGCATGCACCATGTTGTAATTATTAACACGGATCTCTTATTACCAGTCACATGCAAACCTCATCGATCGAAGAACCAAACATTTTTATTTAAATGCGTATGTGACAATAGAGGATAATCATCGTCGTTTGCATGGCTTGTTCTGCAACATAGTTTGAATTGTCAACTTTTCGACTAGAGAAGAGTTCAGAAAGAAAAAAGAAAAAAAAAAAGTGTTGCATTAGGGTTTCTCGATAGGGAAAGTGTTTGTATATATTTCACTCTCCAGGAAGAAAATTATTTACTTGTTCCATTAACATTTTGATGGGCATATATATATAGCTAGTTTGCATCATCATATATGATAATTATAGAGTAGTTAATCTTTAAGGATGGTGTTAGCATGTGAACAATGAACTGGAAGACTGCAAAAGTACTGTGTTGATGGAAAAGCATAATTTATTTAAATTCTCTAGGTTAGAAATTTTGGAACATAGTTAAGTAATGAATGGTGAGTTCCATACACGCATACTTAAGATACCGTTTCACTTTCGGCTAACAAAGTTAAAAAGATATTTTTAATTATATCAACCCACTTTTGTGGTTATTAATTATAATGTGTTTGGTTGATTAGCCAGCCAAAGCCTCTATTACCCAATCACATGTAAGACATTAAACAATGTTTTAGGTAAATTTGATATCTTCGAGGAAAGAGAATGAATAACTAAACTAAATTGCCTGATTATTTCTCCTATAGTTGTGTTTTGTTAAAGCTGTTAACATTCTTGATGATAAGTAATTTAATTGGTTTGGTCTTTATTTTTTGGTGTAACGAAGTCTAGTTAAAGGTCTCTATTCCAGACATGTTGTAATGATGTGAAGCAGTGAAAGTGAATCCCTTCTTATAGTATTTTACTGATATTGGAAACTTTTAGAACCTTAAAAACGTACGAGAGATATATCAAAACCAATTCTCAAAATCAAAAGATAAAACGTTTTTGTTTCTGTTTATATAAATAGAGATGGAAGAACCTTCGTTTCCTTCCATCCTTTCACTCTGGCATCATCATAATTCATAGGAAGAAGGCCATGTTGTAAAGCGTAAACCAAAAAGAGAAATAATTGCAAAATTGGTTTTCGGTTTAACTAAGGGAATGAATTCCGGTTTAAGATTTGACCGCGATAAGGTAATATGTCGCATTCAGTGGCGGAAATTAACGGCCGACCATTGATTGACAATGGTAAGAAAAAGAGAAAACCACTGTTGGAACTTGGTAACATTCACAGCACCATTTTTGTGTTCACAAAAGTATATTACTAGAAATACAGTAGTAATACACGACTCCCTACATTTTCTATTCATCGTTCTATGGGAGTTTCTTGAGCGCTGTCCATACTGGAGATTCGAAGAAATAACTGACGACGTGAAATAACTTTATATATGGTTGAAACTTAGAAATACCGGCAAAACGGGAGGCTAGTGCAGTAATTATATCATTTTCTCAAGAGACAAGAAGCAAATGTAAAACAGAAGCCAATATGGTCCTAACCCTCTCTAGACCTCGCTATGAATAAAAAATCATGTCCTATATATCTAATAGAGCTCGGGCGAAACAGTCATGAATCACTTTCACGCCCAACCAGCAGCTGGAATAGAAGCTGGAGGTGGAACAGCAGCGTCCCATGATGCAGCAGCAAGCGGAACTTGCAAAAAACAAAACAAAACATTAAAGCCTTTTGTTTTACAGATTCAGAGAGGTAAACACGTGTTTGAGGAAACTAACCATTCACATCAGGTGCAGCTGAAATCGGATGTTGGTTTTCACCAGGCCATGCACCATCAGGGATTTGAGCAGTGGTCCATTGGTCTCCACCAACCATTCCATATTCTGGAGCAGGCAACCCAAAACCAGTTTGTTGTGCATCTTCTTCATCATCTTCTTGCTTTGCTTCTTCAGGCTCCCTGTAGAAAAACAGATCCACCTACACAACGCAACAAATCAAGATCTTGTTAGGTGTTGGACTAGAGCTAAAATCATATAATAAGATATGGATACACTCGACTTTACCATGACATCCCATTTCTGAGCTGGGAGAATGGTTCCACGCATTTGGAGAACCATACGAGCCAAAAGCCAGAACAGGCAACCAATGCTGTGTTTTCCCTTGTTGTTAGCAGGAATACCAATGTCGACAAATCCCATTGGAGAATCCGTGTCACAGAAGGCTATGGTTGGAATGTTTCCCAAAGCACCTTCTTTAATTGGCTGGCAACACCAAAACAAGACAGCATTAGCAAAAACCTAAAACTACCACAGTTAATAAGAACCGAGGTAAAACAAACCCATCTCACCTGATGGTCAGTTCTTGGGTCGGTGAGAATCAACAACCTTGGCTCACTGAAAGAAGTCTGCATCTGGTTAGTGAAAGTACCAGGAGTGTGTCTTCCAGCAATAGCATTAGCACCCGTATACTGAGCAAACTTCAAGACAGCTCTTTGCCCATAAGGCCTGGCTGATTGAACAATAATGTCTTTTGGGTTTTCAATTGCTACAATAACCCGAGCAGCCATTTGAAGCTTATCCCATGTCTGTCCTAGGTTGATAATGTAAATACCTGAGCAATAAAAAAATCGAAACTTCATAAACAAAACAGAACCAAAAACCTCCAAAACATCAAAAGACTCGATGAATCACTCAACGTCAAATCCAAGCAAAGGTGAGACTGGTTTCACGATTTAAATACACAAAACTATGGAAATTGGAGAAACTATCAACTCGAAAGAAACAAGATCAATACAGAATCCATGAAATGTGGAATCATTGCGTCTATATACTATAATTATGAAATTTGGATGGAGATGATGAGAGTGTTACCGTCGTTGCGTCTCTTGAAGACATAACGATCCATCTGATAATTGCAGTTTTTGGTACCAAGGTGAACATCGGCTGACAACATCATCTGGATATCAGCTTCTTTCTGAGAGAGCTGACCAGCCGCCGTAGCACCACCGTTCGACGCCATCGTTTGAATTGTCTACTTCTCTTCTCTCTTCTCCGGAGAACCCTAAATAGTGTTTGTTTCACTCAAGAAGACAAGAGTCGTAAAATACTAGGGTTTCCAAGGCCCAAAAGGCCAAAAGCCTCAAAAGAAAAGAAGTAAAAACGATGTAGCCCAAAAGTAGAACGAACAAAAGAAAAGTTAATTTGAAACTTACGAAACAGTAACTTTTGTATTTTCCTTTTCTTAATTCACCCGAACAGTAACTTTTATGACCGTTACGATGAATATGATTGATTAAGCTTTTAATAATAAAAATAATTACCAAACGGTAACTTTCATTTTTTCTATTATATTATTTTCATCCAAACGGTAACTTAGTCGACCGTTAGAAAACAATCGCTATATATACCACCATACCCTCTCCGTCTACCTTCGTTCACACATTAAAAAAAAACTTCTTACTTACTCTGAAACTCCTTTTATAGCCAAATGTTCCAATACTCTGCTCAAGCTTCTCTCTCGTTTTCTCCTTTCCCGAGCGTCTAGCATAGATAACATCACCCTACAAGGTAACACATACAGTACTTGGTTTGATTCTTTTCTTTCCTTTGTTTAAACTACAACTTTATTGCATATAATTTTTGTATGGATGGGAGTTTAAATATTGTTTTTTTCGTTTTCAATGGTTTGCATGTTTTGTGAGTTAAGGGATGACAAAGAAGTTTATGAAATGGTTTCTAAATCTCAGGATCTGTCCTTTTGTTATTTGTTTCAGTTAGTCTCTCGTGTGTGAGTCGTTTATTTAGTAGATGTCTCTTAAAATTTTGTCTTTAAAAGTAAAAGTACGTGATTTGATTTGTTGCCTTGATCATTCATTTTAATCATGCTCTGATTCTTACTAAGAAAATATATGCATATTAATTACATTGAAGTGATTTTTTTGATGTAAATAGAAAAATATCAACATTACTTAGAAGTCTGAAATATTTCCTTAACTATTTTATTTTGGCATATATATATAGTGTACTTGAATTTTTGTGGATTTATATAATACTTGAATGATGATTATTTTGTCAAAAAAGTTGCTAAATCAGAAAGGGATTTTAACGGATTATTAATCTGCTTTTGCAGATGTTGTTTATGAAGAACACAAACTCAAATGGAGAAAAGACCTACATGGGAAAGTGTTAACGGAAGGAAGGCCTAGATGGGAAGGTGTTTTGGAGACGGAGAGTAATATATGATGGTGGGAGAGAATCTTATGGAACAGACAAGTCGATATGAACCTTAGAGAAATGTGTCATACTTTGATTATGTGTCAAACGAATAAGTGAGGATGTAATAAGTGAGTAAGAGTGATTATATGATGTAATAAGTGTAGTGTGTGTGTGACGTAGTGTGACTGCTGGTAAATTTGTGAAGTGTCTAGATGAGATAGTGAGGATGTGGATGATATAGGTAGAATGTGGGTGTATGTGTTGTATAGGGTGTGGAGGATGGTATAGATGAATGTGTTGGTTGTGGTCGTGTGTAGATGAGATGAATGTGTAATTTTAAAGCTATAACTGTAACTTAATTTCTCATAATAATTAATAAATCTAAAGACGATAAAAAACTGTAACTTAATCATTTTCAATTAAATATTAGATTAAAATTTCCAGATCTATCTTCTCCACGATCTTCTTCGATGGCTTTTAATTCTTCATGCGATTCAAAATAAGATATGAATAGTGTTGCTAATAATCCCAACGATTCCAAAATCCTGTTATTAAAGTCGTGTGACATAAAATCATGATAGATAAAGAAGGATGAAAAGCAAATCAAGACCAATGGGTGAAGATTTACTCTTATTTTTGTTCGGGTATTCGGGTCAATCTAATGCTTTACATATTTGCTGGTATATTAGTTTTTAACATTTAAATTTTGATTTCTACTCCAAACTAATAATATTCTCACGATTTTACCTCATATAGAAAAAGAAATCAAATAAGTTGTAAATAATTGGGACAAACCTAAAATCAAAATTATTTTAATGCGACATCTTAATTCTAATAGTTTCAAATCAAGATTTTGATATTTTAGTCTATCTAAATTTCCTTAAATTTTGAAAGAGCTAATTTAGAATTTGTTAAACACTATTTATTTTGTTTTTGTTTGGACAAAAAGCACTATTTCTTTTGAAAGAGCTAATTTTGGAAATAGGAAATATAGAGCTAATTTATGCATAATAAATGGGTCCTTAGGGCCTCAAATTGTTAGGCACTATTTTTTTTGGGAGAATTGTTATTTTTAAAAATCAAGATAAAAGGCCCAATCTTTTTAGTTCATCCAAAAATTCTAGAAACATTGGACCGGCACGCGGTACATCGACACTGCAAAGAAATTGTCTATTGACTATATTCCCCAAGGCCCAAAAGATTAATGGGAGCACTGGAGCAGGATTCAAAGACGTGGAATGCTGATGAATGCGTTGTTACGAAAGGAATATAATCGTGCTTTTTATCCTTCCGTAAATGGAAGAAAACAAAGGTTTTGGAAAGGTGTGAAGTGCATGAGAAGATCGACTGAGGATGTTGTTCTGTCACGTTATACGGCCGAAAAGGTGGTCGTGCTTTTACAGAAACAGTTTAATGAGAAGAAAAGGAAAAGGTTTGTGGTAGGTAGATTTGAGTGGTGCGTTGTTTGTGTGCTTGAGTGACACAGTGCCCTCACCTAAAAATTGTCTATTTGTTAAGATTTGATGCCTAGTGCTACCACCATTCGGATTTTACTTGTGCAATTGCCTCATAAATAAATGTATTCCTAATTACCAGTAACACTGACAAGGATAGAAAACACATGAAGAGAGAAGTTGAGACCTGCCTATATAGCAAGAGGAATTATCAAATTGTTATTGAACTTGTCATTCGTTTCGGACTTCTGCAAAATAGGCAATCGCAATTTCTGGTCTAATAACTTAAAAGAAAAGTAACAGAAAAAGATAGAAACCACAACAGAACACTAGAAGTCAAAGTGATATATGATCAAAACTCTTTTGTTGTTAGCTCAGTGATCTTCAATCTTTTTCAATCCCTTCATATCAGTCGTCTCCACCCTGTTATATTGCACATAATGGTGTAAATGACCAATACTTTGCAACTTAAATATACCAGATTTATTAACAGCTAAGACATTGCTCTGGACGCAGGTAATATTTATAACAACAAACTTGGACAAAACAGATTTCAGAGACTTACGTTGAACCATAGAGAGCAATCTTCTGAACCTTTGTGACCTCAGAACCCGATTGGTTGTCTTCAATGAAGATCGTCAAGCTTGAATCAAATATAGTAAGATCAGAATGAACTGTAGTTACGCTGAATAGTAATGTATATACACAGAGCACGGTTAAACCTTACCTACGAACATTCTGAAACTTAACATATTTAAGGACAACCGGTTTCCCCTGTAAATGGATTTGAACAGAGGTGTCACGACAGATACATCACCAGAACATGTCACCAAATGAATAAAGTTAGATTTTAGAAATATCTTACCTTAAGGTTTTCTTCAGTTAGTTCAGCAGTGTCGCTTGGAGGAAAATCATTGACATTGCTGTATAATTTAATAAACCGATGAGATTCAGAGCTATTATACCCAGATAATCAGATTGTTAGATACAGAGTAGAAACAATTTACATTACCTGAAGCACATGTGCTCTTTGTTTGAGAAAAACTTTACAGTTTTAGGACCTGCAGAACAATTAGAATCAAACAAAGTTAAAATCTTACTGACTAACAATAAACATCCCCATTAATCTAAGTTCAGCAACAAGAAGTAGTTGTAGAGGCAAGAGAAAGAAACCTATATACTTTAAATACAGGACATCAATTAACGAAATTTTCTTTCAAAGGCATTACCTTCCTCTTCAGGGCCTTTGATAGCAAAGGAATGTAGTTTGATAACTTGGTTAAAAGGAATATAGATCAGAAGCTGCTCGTCAGCATCACTCTCTAAGTTCAAACCTTCATCTTCTCTATATCCCTACACGAACAATGTAAATCATTCTCAGGTCATTAAGACACCAACAGCGTAATCAGTGAATCATGAATTCAAAAGCTATAAATTATATCAGGTTCACGCAATATCACTTCATAGAAATCCAAGTTTGTACTCAATCATCTAGACCTAATCTCATAAAATTAATAGATAACAACAATAAAGACATACACAATCAGACAAGTATCTGCAGATACGAAGATAGAAAAAACACAAACTTGTATAGATACAGAGAACTACATTCATCTAGGGATATATACATATGAACATAAGAGAATAACCTGTTTGAGAGCATTGGGCAGAGAGTGACTTGAGCTTTGGTTCAGGCATTCAACACCAGACCAGTCAATAAAATCTAGCAGATCAACCTGAAAAACAAACACAACAACCAAGTCTTAATAGAATCTATTAAATAAAAAACATCGACCTAAGATTCGAAATAATCCAAATTTACAGAACCACAGATAAGAACCCTAGATTATATATTCTTCCCATCCAAAACTTGAATTCCTCTTTGGATAATTAAAAAAAAAATTGATATACGCTCACCTGTCCCTTAGGGATTTGGCTAGCTGATTCGGCGGACATCGTGAGTGTTTTGTTTTTTCTTCCTTTCAAAGAAATCTCAAGATCGAGAAAGTGGAAGAAAATAATTAGACTCTCCACGAAACAAGAGAAAAAGACTTTTTATAACTCTGTTCTCGAAGAAACAAAACGACGCCGTATAGGATAACACTCTAATTGACTTAGCAGGTTGTTATCTTCACCAACCCAAACAACAACAACCTTATAAGTGGTATTCCAATTTTACCCTCAAACCAAGTACAAAACTTTATAACAACATTTCGCCTCTTCCACTCAAAAGTCAAAAACCCAACCTTTGTTTTGTTTTGTTTTTTTAATTTTTTCTCCAACCATTCTCAATCCTCCTCTCTCCAATGGCTTCCTTATCCTTCGTTTCCCCTTCTCACCTTACGCTACGCACTCCTTCTATTGCCCTACGCACTGGCTCTTCTCCTAGAACTTCTGTTTCATTCTCCGTCAAGGCTCAGTCAGTCGCGCTTTCACAGGACGATTTGAAGAAGCTCGCGGCGGAGAAAGCTGTTGAAGCAATAAAACCTGGGATGGTTCTAGGTCTTGGAACTGGATCCACCGCAGCATTCGCCGTCGATCAGATCGGTAAACTTCTCTCTTCCGGTGAACTCTACGATATTGTTGGCATCCCAACATCCAAACGAACAGAGGAACAAGCACGATCGTTAGGGATTCCACTTGTTGCGTTAGACACGCATCCCAGGATCGATCTCGCTATTGACGGAGCTGACGAGGTAGATCCGAATCTTGATTTGGTCAAAGGTCGTGGAGGTGCTCTGCTCCGTGAGAAAATGGTGGAAGCTGTTGCTGAGAAGTTCATTGTGGTGGCTGATGACACGAAACTCGTTAAAGGACTCGGTGGAAGTGGATTAGCTATGCCTGTTGAAGTGGTTCAGTTCTGCTGGAACTTTAACTTGATTAGATTGCAAGACCTGTTTAAGGAATTTGGATGCGATGCGAAGCTTAGAGTTGATGGAGATGGGAAGCCGTATGTGACGGATAACAGTAATTACATTATTGATTTGTATTTTAAGAATCCGTTGAAGGATGGATTCGCTGCGGCGAAAGAGATCGGCAAGTTTCAAGGAGTGGTGGAGCATGGTCTGTTCCTGGGAATGGCTACTTCTGTCATTATCGCCGGAAAGAATGGTGTTGAAGTTATGAACAAGTGAGTGAGGTTCAAAAATTCAATCTTTCTCTTCTTCTTCTTCTTCTTCTTCTTCATTCTAGTGACAAGTTTTCTCCTTTGTAAAATTACCAATTGAGTTTATGTGAGATCATTTTAATTCCGATTCCATAATCACTTGAGTTCAGCTAGATGAGCAGAAAATTGAATTGGGTTGCGCAATTAGATCAATAAAAATGTCAACTTTTTTTTACACAATGGAAATTCATGAACCCTAAATAGAGTAGCAATGATTCAGTCACTAAAAACCTCTGCTTTAAACTAATTCTTAAACCCTAACCTCGCGAGAAATTGAGAACCTCATCATCAGATAGGAACGAATCGTTTGACGATGCGTCTCCCAGCAACCGCCGCCAAAGCCGTAACTCCACCGACAGCTCCGGCAACCACAGCGGATCTAGGCCCAGAGGCAGCTCTGTACAAGGCACCAGTGGCTAAACCAGCGATGACAGTAGTCAAGGAACCGTCGTCTCCGTCTCTCAAATACGTAACACCGCTCTCCATAGCTGCGAACATCAACCCGAGAGATCCTAAGCAATTCCCGCTGCGTCTTGCAGCAAGTCCACCGGAGTTCAAAATCCGATTCGTTCGGATCTTTAGAGATTCGCCCCGTTCGGCGGATCGGATCCCATCAATAGTACCCTTTGCGGCTCCGAGAAGCGATCCAGTGAGATAACCCCACCCGGTGAAGAAGGTGAGGTTCTCACCCCATGACAAGCGTTTTTTCGTAGCTTCTTCTTCGAAGAGAAACTCAGGCGAAGTTGGGAGTTCGTAGATCTGACGGTACGGAAGATTGATTTTTTGGTACGGATTGTACTGACGGTACTTCTGCTGTTGCTGATCGCCAGTGCTAGGGTTCATCGGATCCGCCATTGTCAAAGCTTCTGCGCTTCTTGGTTTAGGCTTAGGGTTTAAGGATGAATCGTGAGGGTTTATAACTTTTTAAGTCAAGAGCAGTAGTAGTAAGTAAAAGGAAATTACTTTGGGGACAATCCGAAAATTTTTTTGAGTTTGCTTTACACCATATATTTGTCTCTTAAAGATTTTGGGCCTTAAAGTTTTGTATTGGGCTTTTTAGTTAATGGACTCTCTTTATTTTAAGGCGGACTAGATAACTTGGTTCAAGAGCAAAATCTTGATGTGTATAAACTTGGTCAGTTTAACCGGGTTATAAAATTCAATTGTTTCATCCCAATTATTGGAATCAGCTTAACCAGAATAATATTATTAAATTTAGTGAATATATTGTCCTTTCCGCTAAAATACTTTTATTATTATTATATGTTGTAAAAGTATGTAACTAGACCCATGGTGAAAAGACAAGACGAGGATATAGCTATACAATTGATTTAGATCGAACAATGAACATCCCTGCAAATTTGATTCCACATTTCTGAATTCTGAGGTACGTCAAAGCCAAATATGGATACAGGATTGAGCATGAATCTATGTAATTTGGTGTCCTTTTAAAAAGAGAGAAGAACAAAAAATAGATTTCACGTTGACGTGGTTACTATGGTTTTTAATATGCTCACGCGGTTTGGCCTTTGCCCTAAACTACTAAAGGTATACACTAATAAATAGTTTCATGGACAAGGCAATGGTATAAGTGGGTGTGAAGTAATTAGACGATACAAATTATCACGAAATAAATAATATCTGTCTAACGATTTTATATTGTGGTTATGAATATCACATAAATATATGTAATTGGTCAATTACGTTGGTTATTTATAATTTTTTCTCAGCCAATGAGTTTGGGAGGCTAAATCTTTCAATACGTTGTTGGCTGCCACTATGTTAAATGTTTGAAGTACCTACGGGCTACGGACTAATATTACTTAGAGCAACATTAACGGACCATCCGTTCGGGCCTTCGCTCATTTGTTTATTAGATTAAAAGCGAAATAGTTAAATTGGAAGACCCATCCGTATGCTCGGGAAGACTCGATTGTATCCGAGTCTTAGGCCACGTGGGCGAATATGATTGGTTCCATTTTTAGGTAAAGAAATAAGTTTTTTCTTTTCTCATTTGTCGGAAAAAACGAAAACCCCCAAATTCGAGTCGTGTTCTCTGTGGAACCCTAGCGGGCGATTTTGTCGATTGAGAGTCAATCTCATCTTCTTCTTCTCCGTCTGGTCTTGGCGATTTCGCCGTGTCTTCTGAGTGTCGATCTCCTTCCGGTCTCGGTCTCTCTCGAACCCTACACGGCGATTTTGACGAATCCGCCGCCGTTCTCATCTTCTTCTTCTCCGTCTGGTCTTGCCGAGTTCGCCGTTCTTTCTGACCTTCAATCTCCTTCCGGTGTGTCTCCTCCTCGTCACCATGTTGTAGATCTACTAAAGATTCATCATCGAGGGTGTCTTCGAAGATCTCTCACCTTCCCAAAATCGATTCAAGCGAGGTACATTGAAGTCTCTTCTATCTTATTATGTTTTGAAGTTCTAGGGATCGAATTAACTCTTGTTATCTCGAGTTCGTTGATGGGTTATAACTATTATGTGAAATTTACTATTGTTTATTGATTTTTCCTGAGGTTTGAAGGTGAGTCTGAAGGTTGCAAAGACGGATTCCGATCATAATCAGGATCTTAAGTACAAAGTTAGAGGTATGTGACATAATCCCTGTTCTTAACTTTGCATGCAATAGATGTGAATCAGAATGCGATTAGGTTATTGTATTGAATCTATTTTAATGGCTGTCAAATGAATTGTGAATTGTTGGCATAAAGTAAACCTGTTTATTGAAGTGTATACTCGCTTTGTGTGTGATCTTCTTGTACTTGGTGTTTGATAATTGCTTATGTATGTACATCTGCTTCCTGCTTATTGCTTGGCTAATATTGTTGTTTTCTCTGTTAATTAGGGGTTGTTAACGAGTCATGTATTGGTTATTGTATTGAACCTGTTTTAATGACTGTCAAATGAATTGTTAATTGTTGGCATCAAGTAAAACTGTTTATTGAGGTGTAAACTCGCTTTGTGTATTGATCTTCTTGTACTTGGTGTTTGTTAATTGCTTATGTATGTTCATCTGCTTCCTGCTTATTGCTTGGCTAATATTGTTGTTGTCTCTGTTAATTAGGGTTTGTTAACTAGTCATGTATTGGTTTGTCTGTATTGAACCTGTTTTAATGGCTGTCAAATGAATTGTTAATTGTTGGCATCAAGTAAAACTGTTTATTGAAGTGTAAACTTGCTTTGTGTATTGATCTTCTTGTACTTGTTGTTTCTTTATTGCTTCTGAATGTGGTAGTATGTAAATGGGATGATGTTAGTTAGTGTGTAGAAACATGTAGTTCCTGTTTAATAATGTGTAGTATATATGTTGGTGAAATACTTTTAACAGTGTATTAATGACCCGAAAATGAATTGTGTAGCTTATGTACTCTATGTTCATTAATGTGTCTGGTAGTGTTGTAAATCTCTCAGAATTGTGTCATAAAAGTCTTTCAATGCTAGTCTTGTACTTTAAAAATATTTAAATGGTAAGTATGAATCTCTGATCTTGTTACAACAAGATCAGTATTTACATTAAGTTGTAAATGTAAGAACATTTATTTATTCTTTTGATAACTAGAAAGCAATCTTTACTTACAAAGATTACTATTCTGTTTCTTTGAGAGTTGACTCTGATTTGATAGATATAGGTAAGTGTTAGCTTTGTATTTACTATATCCACCCAAAATTCTCTTTATGATCTGTTTTGAATTTCCAGCTTTCATTTCTTATTCCTTTTGCGATTTGATCCTTTCTCTTCTTTCATCTCTCTCTTCTTTCCCTTCTTCTTTCATCACTCTCTTCTTTCCCTTCTTCTTTCATCACTCTCTTCTTTCCCTTCTTCTTTCATCTCTCTTGTACCAACTTCTTTCCCTTCTGTTCTGCCTCTTCTTCCATCTCTCATCTATCACCATATGGAATCAAATCATAATCCATATGGTCAATCTCTCAGTTACTTTAGCCTAAGAAACTTTCCTTATGACAGCTTCTCTGCAAATCTAAACTTTGGCTCTCCACAAGGCAGCCAAAACCCGGGTCATAACCAGCAACAGCCTGAAACTGCCTCTTCTCAAGGGAGTCAATTCCCTGGTATTAACCAGCAAGAGAGTCATGGAGCTGCATCTCCAGCCAACCATTTCTCTTCTTTTAGCCAGCCTCAGACTCAACCTCCACCTCAAGGTCAAGGCACACCAACAT